GTGAGTCAAGGAGAAAATTCCTTCCAATCCCATCAACAATCACTCATCAAATAATGTCGAGCGAAATGATGGGAGTGAAAGATGAGAGAGAAAAACTTTGTGGTCTCTCTGGTCCTTATTATTATTGCATCAATATATTGGAGACGAGAAGAAGGACCATGATTTATTGGTCGTTGACCTCAATCAAGTTTTAAAGAAAGTTGACGGAAAATCGAGCAATTATTGAGCCTTTTCCTTTAAAGAAAGGACACGAAATGTAGGATGAAAAATTTAGACAATTTCTGAAAGTAGGCTTTTTCATACAAAATTAAATCGTATGAAACAATTTAACCTACTTGGTGACGACAGCCAATGGAATGATTCATGACGATTGCTCCGACTCTTGTGAGCTAGAATAAGTTCCCAACAAGGGTTTCTCCACGATTGGACGAGAACCACAGGGCCAAACTGTAAATGGAGCAAGCAACATTTTCTGCATGCCTGTTGTGGGTGCTTTCTCCACATTCCTTTGTGCGGAGCGAAGGCAGGAACTGGGGGTGGATATCCGTTCGCTGTCTTTGCTTTGTGCCCTTCATAAAACCAATCCAGGCCAAAATATGTTTTGCAGTGTTCCAGATCGGAAAAGGATTTCCACTCGGAGCAAGAAACGTTACGGCACCAGGGCCGATTTTCCTTTCTCCCTCATCGAATAAGGTACAAGTTTATTACCATGTTTCCAACCGAACCGTGGTATTTTGCATATTTGCGAAAAACAACTGCGCCAAGCAGCCAGTTACGGTGTGTATTTACGTTATTACGTATTTAGGTATGAGACCAGTCATATGCACATATCGTAATTAAGAGTAATTATCAACAACATTCATAATTTTGACCCTGTTTCCCTATAAATCCTCACTTAATGGGATTATAGGCTGCGAGCTAAAAAGCTGAATGAGTCCGTATCATCCTCCATACATGCCAACCAACTGCATGCACCCAGTTCAGCATTTGCGTGTAGCATTTCTAATTGCTAAACACCACTCTCTCTCCCTGCTGCCCACATTTCATCATGTTTCTTTAATTTCGTCCACCCACAAAATGTTCGGAGGGTACAACATTTGAACATTTTGATGATTAATCATGAGCAAACATCACCCCGAGGAAAATTATGAAATGGGAAATGTTCAAAGGAATTGCATTCTGTCATGTCCTCTCTTTCTCTCTGGTGAGGCTTGGGAGGAAAGAATAATTCCACTCGACACCACTGCTCTCCGCGTCAGAGAGACTGATTTTGATTTGGCAAGGGTTGTGAAATTAAGCTGGGCAACCAACCAACCCAGTTATGCCTCCATTCAATAATGGCTTTATGTGGTTCAACTCATTTCATTTCTCCATCTGGCTGTCGGAGGTCGATGGCGTAATGGCACCGGGTTTCCGTCAGGATTACAAAAAAAGGAGATGTGGTCGTCCTGGTGTATAGTACATCGTGCTGCTTATTTTCATTTTCTGATCCTCATAGCTCCACACAAATCTCATTCCTTCTCAAAAGAGGTGAACGTAACTGGGCATAAGTTATGCTCATTTCTTCTGCAGAAATACGTACTTTGATCTGTAGCTGTTGTGTAACACTATCCATGTGCATAGCTTCATGACGAACCAATGCATATGTAGGAACGAGAAATGTGTGCCGTTTCAAACGACGCATTTGTCACTAACAAAGCTCTAATTATGACTTTCGCTGATTGGCAAAGGACGTTGAGAAATGAGAGGTGAGGAGAAGCACCTCCCTAATTGGAAAAATCTGCGAAAAAATCCGAGAAAATATTTCCCAGAGAAGACAGACTTCTTCTAATCCTACGTGTTGCTAATAATTTCTAATTACGTTTTCCCATCCAATTAAGGAATGATGAGAGCTATTACGGGTTTGAAAGGAGAGGTGAGCAAGGTGGCTCCATTGTGATGGATCTTTCACCATTGTCGAAAAGTCGTTATACATTTTTCCTCATCTTGTGTAGTAATTAACAAACTTGCCGACGACGGCCCAGTTTTTTAACAGGGACTTGCACAAGTGGTAGTTCATCGGTCAGACATACACAAGAAAGACTTGGTTCCTGTAGTGTCTCGATTTTAATTAAAAATTATTGTAAAACACAAAAACAAGGAGGAAAAAAAGATTTCACATAATGGAGCATAATTGTTATATCGTTATCGCCTTAATGAATGGATGGGAGGAAGACACTGGGAAAAGAGGATTTTAAGTGAAAGTAAATTTCATTAAGATAAATTGTTTTCAGAATAATTAAGAGATGAAAATAGGATCAAAATTAAGCCGGTGTTAAGTAAATCTAGGAAAGTTTGTGTGACGTCACGTCCTCTTTACATAAAAAGATTAGAGTGCTGTGTGCTGCTCTTGACATTGCATTTATTAAGGAATTCCACATGCTGTATCTATCAAGTAAAGAAAAAAACTGTAATTTTTGTCAAGAAACATGAGACCAAGCCCGTTTAAGGCTCGATCTGGAGTCCTCGTATTGAGAGGACGAGGAGGAGGAGGAGGGGCCCTGTCTCGTAATTTACATGTGTTGTCACACACATGAGAGGATACTACGATATCGTAAAAGTGCTTCGGAATTTGGGTAGTGCCAGCACGTTAAGACGAAGGTCAGCTTAAACTAGTGAGTGGATTTGGCATAAGAGCCACTTATCGCTTGCAAGCAAACTGTTAACTTTAAGTATTTATGTGACAAGCATGATGGATTTAGTAGGAAGACGGAAACAGTTGTCCCACCCACTCGCAAATTGTCCTGCCAACGCCAACTGTTTCCCCAGCAGAGGTGGATCTCGGGACAACGCGTTGTAGAAAAAACCCGACACGTTTAGTGAAACAATTTCATCATCCCTATTGCCATTTTATCTGTTTAGCATTTTGCTCGACCCGTTAAAAGTGATTCTGAGAATAAAGAGGAGATTCATCCAAACATGATTCGGCGATGATTTGATGAAACATTGCTCAGTGGAAGGGTTTGTTTCAATTTGGTAATAAATTTATCGGATCAACATCCACCCCGAGATGAAATGATCTCTTGTATGGGTTCATTTTCCTACGAAATGGGGAAAGTTGGCTCGAGTGAAAGAAGTTGCTTAGCAAAGAGAGTGGGTGGCTTAGCGGCGGAGGAGGATGCATTTTATTGGCTTGATTTGATGCTCAAAGTTTTCTTTCTTTCGTGACATGTTTGCGCTGAATGGATCAGCATTGAGCTTGCTTCTGCTCCCACTTTATTCCTATATTCCTTCACAGAAATCCGAACTACTGCTTCTTCCCAAGCCTCTATAACCAATTGTTCCTTTACAGCAAATTCATGGAGCGCTGTATGCACCATACTAGAAACGTATTCGTGGCGCGATGTATCTTAATATACTATACTTTCGTGTACCTATCGATGTTCATATTTGCCTGTAAACTTTACCACGGTGTGTGCTAAATGAAACCTAAATACGTACGTAAATGTCCAACCTCGTAACATAGTCTTAATTGTGGCGTAATTTGTGTAAAACCGACTAAATGTTGTGGTGTGTGCAGCCATTGTAAAAGTGTTACCTGTGCGCAGAGCCGTTTAAGCTAATAAGCAGTACTTACTACTAACTTATTCAAAATCAATTACCATAAAACCTTACATTTACATCATTTACCCATAAATGTTACCACTGAAAACCAATACAGATGTATGTATACCTTCTTAATGTTGTTAGATAGACCTATGTTTTATGTATGTATACCTAACTTACTTACTTATTACCCGTGTGCATTCGCAATTATTTATTCATTCATGTCAAGTAATATACGACTCGTGTATTGTATATACGTATTGTGCACCTGTGATCCGAACCAAACCAGAATCTACATATTTACTTCCATGCTACTACATAACTCTCCTCAGCCGTACACACACATCTCACTGACATATTATTCATTTATCCATCCGAATCCTTCTTCTCCTCTCTCCAACAACAAACGCTGGTTGCAACGCAATCAATGCGTCCCTTTGGCTAGAGAGGGAATAAAAGGGAAAAGAAATTCCTGCTTAATCATACAAAGGATGATGGATGGATGGATGGATGGATTGGTGTACGCGGTCCCCTGCCAAGGCTCGAGATCGAGGGAGAGAAAGTCAAGTCAACTACCACTCTTTTCGACTTTTGACTCTTTCCCCCCTTTGGTCGTCTTTCCTGTCTCTCTTGTGATGTGATGATTCATACGTAACCCAGTAACTTATCCAGAACAGTACACACACACACAATCACTACTGTGCTCATAATATCCATGCATTCCTACACCTTGACTTTCTCTCATCGTACTTGAGAGGCAGCCGAGAGACAAATAATTGATTGTGACCAATTTCCCGAGGAGGAGAGGTTGTGAGGTTGGCGGTGCCAGAATTTGGTGCCCCTTGAATATGTTGGAGTAGCCGAATGTGCTAAAATACTCAAGTGGTTTCAGTCCATGGCCACATTTACGCCCGTCATGCCCACTTAAAAACACGAAAGCCCTTTGAAATCATCACCAAAAATCCAATTTTTTGTCAAATTTGTCTTTCTTGATCGTAGTTAGTTGCTTTATGATGCCCAATATCAGACTAAACTTTTTAAAATTTTGATTTCTTCGATAGCATACTTACCTTGGTCAGGAACTGTTCGAAAATATTTTTTGTAATATACAAAATTGAGTCTCATGTTGGATATGATAAGACAACAATCTAGGATCCAGAAAATTATAAAAATCGGATGAAAATTGAATTTTTCTCAAAAGTTTTCTCAAAAGTGATGCTGTTGATGGTGTGGTTCGCCTTTGAGCGGGTGTGGCGGGCGCAAATGGGGTAAAACCCCCCTTCACGTTTTCGTACATTCCCATCATACTCCAACATATTCAATTGTGAGGGCACCAGAATTGGGTACTGACCACCTCAGAGCCTCTCCTCCTGGTCGAATGGGATTAACTAGAGAGTTGCCTGATTTGATGCCAGGTCAAAGAGCAATCAGCGCTGGATGAAACTGCGCACAACTGTCCAACTATCCGGCGCCATTCAGACGATCCAGCAGAAGAAAGCGCCTCTGAAGAGAGAGGACAGCTTCCTCAAGCGATTCTCCACCCGACAAATCCCCGAAGCGCAGGTGAGTACAAATAAGCTCTCTCACCATTCCTCTTATCTCCAAATGCATACAAATCCAATGACAAGACTTTCTCTCCAACCAATCCACTCAAGAGAGCCAGATAGGAATAAGGCTAGGCTGAAATTTAAATCCGGCAGGCCTTATCCGCGACATAATGTGCATGCTCAGGAGGAAAATTAAACCGTGTCTCAATTTCCGGCCAATGTATATTGTGAATGCTTCCATTATTCCTCACTTTTCAGACGAGGGGGAACTTAATTAGCTTTGTAAATTGCCACACCTTTAATGACAAGATGGTTACCTGAGCGTATGCACATAATAATCTATGTGGTCGATAAGGAGCATGCCAGCGCCCACGTATACGTACCCCTAATGTCGCATAGTGAACCCACAGCAAATAAGACGCTCAAGTGAATTTCATAAGACGATAATGACGGTGATGAGCTCTCTATTAACATCTGCACGTGCGGAACTTTCTTGAGTGGAAAAACGGCTCGGATTAGTTTGCTCAAAGTGGAATAATGGGGCAATAAATTAACTGCGGAAGCATTTTCAGGTGAAGGTTGTTGATGGCGAATTGAGCCTTCCTCACTTCCATTTGTTATTTCCTCCCATTTTTTAAGAGCTGAAAAATCTCACTCTCTTTCTGCCCGAGTGACAGAGAAATTGCTTTAGAAATTTGATTCATTCTCGAAACACTGCATTTCCACGGACATCAAACTCTCATCCAGACTTGCACTGGCAAAAAGTGAAACATGAAGCAGGAAGGAGAAGAAAACTTCATCCTTTCTTCATCTCCTCCTTCCTGTTGTTCCAGTCGAGAAAAAACAAGTATTGAGCTTATCCTTAGTTGGCCACGTGATTGGCTACTTGCTATGGATGTACGTAGCACCACTGCTGCATCTCTCCACTCTCGCAGTATTGCATCACACGTCATTCTACTAAAGGGGGAGCACCGAGTGGAATTGCGAATTAGGATATTTTACGAGAATTTAGGCTGTCTTCCATCCAGGGGAACTTTCCCCATGCAATAAAAAAACTTGTCCCAAAAACTCATGGACAAAAAGGATCAATAAGTCAATAAAGGAGAGAAGAGTGAGACAGACACAGATTGGGGGAGGGTTATTGAATGAGATGGGGAAAGATGGGACACGCTGTGAATTATGTGACGTGAACAATGATATCCTGCGAGTCCAGGACGATACACCTTTCCAGCTCAAATCCAATCAAGTCACGTCTTATTGCATGGGAGCGAAAAGGGGAACGCAAATCAGGCATGTGGATTCTAAACTTTAATGAGAGAAATATTTATTTGCAGTTGCGTATGTGAAAAGCGTGCTTTCTCGAATTACTCTAAATTTTGCACGACAACGCAATTGTTTGCTGAAGGCAATTGGCATACGGGTGTAAATATGCTACTCGTCTCCTGCCAGACATGCACACACACTTCACTTCTTTTGTACGGTAAACACTTGCAATCATCCCCCCGCCTTCCAACCAGCACACCTTTCCTCTTGTGAACTCTGACATTTCATATCTTTTCCTTCAGACTTGGCTGAACTTTGTGAATTGAGCATTGCCAGCACCTCGTCAGCCGCTCCACGTACGTACGACTTTTTGCAGAGAGGTATTTATAAATAAATACCGGGGAAATGGTGAAAGGTGAAAACAAGCTTTCCCTTCTCCAAAATGCACCCTGCTGATTTCTGATTGTTTTCCACTCCTTCAAACACTCAATCACACAAAAAGAAATACAAAGAAAAGATAAAAGTCCTGGTGGAATTTTCTAAAAAATGAGCATGTACGATCCACTTCTGCTTTGTTTCATGGGTGGAGGAGGATGACACCCTGAAATGATTTTGGTGGAGGAAAAGCTACACCAACTATTTGAACATTTACGAATTCTTAGTGCCGAGTAATCCTACACTGCAGCCGGGATGATAGGAGTATGTAGGTTAGTGAAGAGGAGGAATCCAACGGCATCAGTTATCTTGTCATTGTCGCGTCTCATCGTCGTCGTCGTCGTCGTTGAGCACAACACGACAACGTCCTTTCTTCTCCGGATTCCTCTTTCACGGAACGAACCCCAAGTTTTAGAATCGAGAAGCAAGGAGCATTTCCTTCACTTTACGCCTTGTCACTTTCCGTGATGTGGTTCGAATTTGTATTAGGGCGAGACTGCCACCAGACCAGCCAGGCTGCAGAAGGACTTGAGCAGATGCATGGCCATGGGGAAAGCAGAGCTGTCGGGAACGACATCCACCTTGCATGTAGTTTAAAACTGCACTTCATTTATGTCAACCTTGTTTTTGAACATTAAAACCATATCAAAAGATAAGAAGATATACGAGATAAGCCAGTGAGGTTGGTGATGTGCATCTCCAGAGGAGTCAAGATATATTTAGACGGTTCTCTCATCCCATATTTTCTGCTGCTGTCACCATTTTCTTCTCCTCCTCCTCCCAAAAAAAGAAAGCAAGCCAGGACCAAGCTGTTTCCATCCGCGAGGATGTCGAAGAGGAAAAGATACGCAGTCGTTGGTGGCGGTCGTGGTTCGCGGCGGTGGTGGTGGTGGCAGCAGTTAGTGAATTCTAAATGGCTCTGCATGTTGACCCCGACTGGAGAGAGAAATGACAGTTTAGCTGGTGGGGACTGGTGGTATAAAATAAAATGAAGAAAGTGATTTCATATCTGGGTCAGTATTTCTGAGATGAGATTTGCCCCCCGTGCTAAGCCAACTTTAGTGATTTATATAAAGAAGAAGGCAGAGAGAGGAGAGCAAGCAAACTACCAGCGTATGGAATCGGATTGAATTTCCTTATCACAAAAATTATGATTATATGGCGTATATCGGAGAAAGACGAGCCAGGCTTTGTCCATATGGCACACATTCTGTTTAATGTTTGAGACGCTTCATCGTCATCTCTATTTCTAGTCCTTCTCTCCACATCGCATCCGTGCCTGCTGCCTGCTCAGGGGTGGTATTTAGTGCCTGCCCAGTAGTGGCGTGTAGCAGGAGTGGTTAAGTTGGCGTTGGTGGTTTTGGCGTTCCCTCGTAAAAATCAATTACGACTGTTTATCAATTCTTGAACTGGATTCATCTCCTTATCCGCCCGCTCCCATGTATTATTAGCGCCATAAAAAGCAACAGATTGTATATCTCGCGAAAAAATGATGTCATTAATTGTTAATTGAACGCATTCTCGACTTTTATTCTGGACCTTGTAAACCGTTGGATTAAATTATGCCTGGGAAGAAGTACATCCATACGCTACTCAGTGGCCAAATGTGCAAGTAAAATAAATCCGTCATAAAAAAACTCGACTGTTTATCCCTCACACCTTTATATTACTTGATGTTTGTTGAATTACGACGCTCCATCAATCCCACTTTTACTCCTGGACACCCATAACGTACGATGCTCCTACGTGCACACGGCCATTTATCCGGAATAAATATAAAAGATGGTAAAACCAAAAATATGGGCCATGAATAGGGTGTGATTGAGCTGTTTGTTTCCCGATTAAGATTTAACCCTGGCCATAAGCTGATGGTGGAGAAGGATTTGGTGGTCGTAAAGTTTGAAATTGTGAGAGCTCTTTTCGACCACACTTGCTCTATTTTATCAAACCAACTCGTCGTCGTCGTCGTTGTCCTTCTGGAATCTGGGGGAAGGCGAAATTGAATAGGTCATTGGACCAAGTTGCAGCCGTAGGTATGCACGTCTAACCTAGCCACCATGCATGCAGGGAAGAATATGGATCGATACCACACCGCCAAAGAGACGCGACCTCAGTTTTGATGATGACACCACCAACTAGCAAAGCCAGCCGTATCCTCTGCATCCACATCCTTTCTCTCCAGACTTTCTCTCTTCGTGGCGGTGGTGGTGGCGATGCTGCTTGGTCGGCTCGTGGGTGCATGGATGATACAAATGCAAAAGTACTAGAGAGAAGAAGAAGAAGAAGAAGAAGGAAGGAAAAAAGTTGTGGAATTGTTCTCTCTCCAACATCCCCATTATTGCTGAATGAGGGAAATGGAAAGTTGAGGCTGATGAGACAGTACAGTATCGCGCGACCACTTTCTCTCCTTCCAGATTCTCATCTCAACTGCTGGTCACTTTTAAAGATTTCGTTTTCACAAAACGAAGAGAGTTGTAATCTCCAAAAGTGCCAAATCAGTAGCCCCGTCAATTCGTAATAGATTTGCCACTACATAATTCAAAATTAGTTACAAAATGCCAACCTGGTAAAACTACATAAAACCGTTTTTTTTGTTTTAAAGGAAACCGAGGAAATAAGTTTGTTTTACCACTTAAGACAAATCGGAATAATACGTGAATAAAATTCTCGAAGGAGCTCTCCATCCCGACGAAACCTTTCTTTTCATCTCTTTTGCATTGGGGAAAAAGTAGGAAACTTTCTCCTGAAGTAGATCCTCCCCTAATCCTGTGGGATGTCTCTCTGGTGCTCCTTAATGTATGCACATGTATGGAGTCGCATGCAGTGAGTGTTGGGGAGAAATCCACTCTCACCGGTTTCTTACATACGTGAAACGGCATACCCACCTCTGCTCGAGAGCTCCCTCGAGTTTGGCTTAGAGGAGAAAGGCTGAGAGATTGAAATCTCTCCACAATTGCAGTGTGTGGCAGTCATCAAGGAGAAAGCGGCTCGCCACAAACAAAAGTAATTTTGATAGGATCAGCATTATCTTGTCACCCATACGAAGAGAGGGGAAAGATTAAAAAGTTGTGACAGGGGAAGAATGCTTGCTTGCTTCCCTGCTTGCTTGACGATGACTTTTCTCCAAACCCCGTTTTCCTTCCTCGGCTGACTAATGAAACTGTGCCAAAATTGAGAAACACATGCCGCATTGTGAGCCATACCACAACATTTATTGATCGGATCTCTATCGGTTATTGGGCAATCGAATCGAGACCGTCATTGGATCCCGTTAATAAATGATGACAAAGTAGGACTCCCAATATGTTGGGTATGCGA